GGGGGGGGTACCCCCCCGCCGCGAGATAATCCTCTGCAGCGCCGTGGGCGGCGCGGTGTTCCTCCTGGCGGTGGTGATCTCGGTGACGGTGTTCATCTACCGGAAGCTGGCGTACAACCGGACGGCGCCGTTCGAGCACAGCCAGCGGCGGTTCTCGTACTCGGTGCTGCGGCGGGCGACGAACTCGTTCTCGGCGGCGACGAAGCTGGGGCACGGGGGGTTCGGGTCGGTGCACAAGGCGACGCTGCCGTCGGGGCAGACGGTGGCGCTGAAGGTGATGGACTCGCCGGGGTCGCTGCAGGGGGAGAGGGAGTTCCACAACGAGTTGAATTTGTGTTCGAATCTGAAGTCTCCGTTCGTGATTTCGCTTCTAGGTTTTTCTTCGGACCGGCGCGGTCGGAAGCTGGTTCTGGTTTACGAGCTTATGCCGAACCGGAGTTTGCAGGACGCGCTTCTGGACCGGCGCTGTCCGGAGTTGATGGATTGGGGGAAGAGGTTCGACGTCGTCGTTTCGGTGGCCATGGGCTTGGAGTATTTGCATCATGTCTGTGAGCCGCCTGTGATCCATGGGGATATCAAGCCCAGTAATGTGTTGCTGGACCGGGACTTTCGGGCCAAGATTGGGGATTTTGGGCTTGCTAGGGTTAAGACGGTCGAGGATCCGGGGGTGGGGGTGGGGGTGGGGATGGGAATGGGAATGGTGGATGAGAATGAGAATGAGAAGAAGAAGGAGGAGGAGTTTGAGAGTGTCAGTGTCGTCGATGTTGACCGCTCACCGGAGAGTTGTCCGGTGAGGGCTGTGGAATATTCCGACGCGTCTCCGGTGGGGGGTGATAAGCTAAGTGTGGTGTCGGATGGGTGTTTTGAGAGTGTTGATAGTGGGAATGTGAGGAAGAAGGGGGGTGGTGGTGGTGGTTCGGGGAGGGATTGGTGGTGGCGGCAGGAGAGTGGGGGCGGAGGGGAATCGGGGAGGGTGAAGGATTATGTGATGGAGTGGATCGGGAGTGAGATTAAGAAGGAGAGGCCCAAGAGCGAGTGGGTGGATTCGTGTTCATCTTCTTCTCCCAAGGAGGAGGGTAAGAGTAAGAAGAAGAAGAAGCAGAGGAAGAGGTTGGATTGGTGGGCTTCTCTGGATGAGGAGAGGGTTAAGGGGAAGGCGAGTAAGAAGAGTAGTAGGAAGCCGAGGGAGTGGTGGAAGGAGGAGTTTTGTGAGGAGTTGTGTAAGAAGAGTAGGAAGAAGAAGAGGGGTATGGAGTGGTGGCAGAGGGAGGAGGATGGGGTGGAGCAGAAGAGGAAGAGGAAGAGTAAGGGGAGTAGAGGGAGTATTGATTGGTGGTTGGATGGTTTGAGTGGTGAGAGTGAGATAAAGAACAATGGGGGGAGGAGGAATAGCCAGGATTGGGTTAGTGGGGATGTGCCAAAGAGTGGTGGGATTAGTAGCACCCCTAGTATGAGGGGGACTGTGTGTTACATTGCTCCTGAGTATGGGGGTGGGGGGCAGTTGTCTGAGAAGTGTGATGTGTATAGTTTTGGAGTTCTGCTTTTGGTTCTGGTGGCCGGGAGGCGGCCGTTGCAGGTCACGGCCTCGCCCATTTCCGAGTTTGAGAGGGCCAATTTGATATCATGGGCCAGGCAGCTTGCTCACAATGGGAGGCTTTTGGATCTTGTGGACACTTCCATTCATTCGTTGGATAAGGAGCAGGCTTTGCTCTGCATCACCATTGCCTTGTTGTGTTTGCAGAGGTGCCCTGGGAAGAGGCCTTCCATGAAGGAGGTTGTGGGGATGCTTAATGGGGAGGCTGAGCCACCGCACTTGCCGTTCGAGTTCTCGCCTTCACCGCCCTCTAATTTCCCGTTCAAGTCGCGGAAGAAGGCTCGGTGAGTGTGTGTGTGTGTGCGGGCGCGAGTGAGTGATGGTTGTTCTTGTCATGATCGATCATTAACTTGTGAGAGTGTATGGTTTTAGTTTTAGGTAAACTCTAATTGATTTTCTTCACCATTTGTAGAAACTAATGCAGAAAAGAAAGGGGAAAAAATAGTAGAGTTACAAGCCTTGTTGCATAAATCCATTTGTTTCCTTTCTGGTTTTTGTTTTGGTTCCGTTCTGGTTCTGGTTCTTTACATCGTATGACGGTTTATTCTGACCTGGTTCTTGCTTTTTAATCTGAAAGAACTTTTTGGGTGCATGATTCTGGCACGAATACGTGTCTTTGCCTCTACAAGTTGTTGAATTTCAGGAAATTTCAGGTCTTTTAAAAGTTGAGGGAACATTTTTTTTTTACCTTTAAAGCTATTTGGCTTCTTGGCCCCTTTTCAACGAATATTTATGTAGTGCCTCCTGACTAAACCTGTGTGTGAACGAGAATTTCATGACCTTAGTGCCCGCTAAGGACCCAAGGAAGATTTATTTATCTTTTTGGTTGTTCCAACTTTTTAAAGTTATATGCACATTTTGCCTTTGTTGGTAGTATCGGTTTCAGTTGAAGCGGACACGTCCTGGCCCCATTCGCGTCTTTTACAAGTAATTATGATTTTACTTTGAGCTAAGTGGAGGCTCCACTGTCCCTGGAATTGAGAGAAGAATAAGTATCATTTTATCATCAGTGCTTGGACCTACAACTAGCCTTTCACTCCTAAGCTTTAATCCCTTGGAACAAATAAAGATCACAGATTCTTATTGCAAGGCTATTGCTAATCATCCATGAAAGATCAAACAATATAACAAACTAAATATAGCTAGTTCTTTTTTAAACTTTTTTTTAATGTCAATATTCCATATTGCCATATTAATGGCTTCTCCCCCAGTTCCCTAATCCTACAATAGAGATAAACTGTCTAATGTTTCGGGAATGTTTGCGTTTGGACATTGCGTTTTTTTAATTGCCTGCTCTCACTCTCAAGGAAGATCCTTTGGGGACTCAGATACCTGTAATTGCTGCACTAATAGTTTTCGTACAGAAATTGAGTTATTTGTGCATTTGCAAATCTCTGTTCTGAAGAGTACCTGACTCTGATCGGTCAGTACATAATTTAGGGAAACGATTTAATTTAGCTTAGTATTTGCAATCGAAGAATTAATGAAAACAAATGTAGGAATAATTTGTAACACCCCCTACCAAAAAACAAACCAACTGGAAGGAGGAGGGTGTTCTAGATGGGACTGCTTGTGTCTAATCTAACATTTGTACGACCTTCATATAATGCTTTGTAATTTGGATGATGATTATGCAGAGATGGAATTTGCGATACTATGTAATTTTGTGACTACTGTAATGCTATGGTGAGTGTACTGTAATGCTTCTTGATTGCTACTTCCAAAAGATTTGACAATCTGTTCCGTGCTGCCTTTTAAAAATAATCCGAGTGATATTTCACATATGTTGATTAATTTCTGTCTAGTTATCGGTGTAATTTTCTTGAAATAGACATGATATGCCGAAGTAGAAATTTGTACTTTGGTTTTAAAAAAACCATGTTATCAAAGGGGGAACAATAACATACATGAAGGGGAATAAAAGTGGTGGGAATATGGCAGGTAAAGCCGCACACGCACTAGATATTAGATTCTGACTAAAGGGTCTATCTTTGGTTTCCCACTTGAACCTAACTATTTGGGAGCCATTATTTAAGACAATGCGAATCCAAAGCAGTGACCTGACACTTGTGATCATAGTGAGGTAGGCGTGGCAAATTAAGCCCTCGGGTACTTATTAAAGAATAAAAAATAAAGGAATTTATTGAAAATTATATTTAATATATTGGAAAATTAATATACTATTCAGTTATTTATTCCTGATCTCCAACAAATATTTAAGTAAACTGATAATACGCATTTGCCAAAAGAAAATATGGATGGTTGCTTAGTGAATTCAAAAGACTTTGTGGAGTGGTGGTAATTGGCATGCCCGTGCAAGTCTGTAATTTTCTCCTCTTGCATGTGTGAGCCCAACAATTTGTATGAATTGGTTGATATTATCCTTAGAGCCAAAACATCACAATTGGTTGGTGCCTTGGTGGCATCACGATATGAGATGAATTTGGGTATTAAATCTGCAACACAGTTTGGAGTATGGTTGTTGTGTGAAATAACTACGGAAGTGGTCCCTGTACAAGTGATGTATTAGTGGTTGCACTGCACATTCATAAATGTGATAGGATTTTGAAATCTGATGATGAATCGTAATCGAACCATGAGGGGTATCAATGAACTTTCGATTGGGCTAGGAAATAACAATCTGTCTCTTTTAACTATTTAATTTGTCTTACAATTTTTATTATTTTAAAAAAGATATAACAAGTCGTTTTAATTTATTTTTTTTTTGTACTTTGATATGCTCACCAAATAAAATAAATTATCACCTATAAAATGAAAGAACAATATCTCAAAATGATTTATATATTACTATTAAAAGTGTTTCATTATTTAAATCTTTATATACAACTTTAAAGTGATAATTATTTTAAAATAGATGAGATATTTAATAGGCTAACCTGCACATAGAATTGTTAATAGATAGGCCTGCTCAGGCTAATTCTTAATGGGCCGGGTTAACTCGTGTGCACAAAAATCTCATCATCTATTGTCTTCATTTAGCAATTCATTCACTCCAGTCCACTCAATGGCTTCATTGAACGATTCCACTATCTTTAAGCTCAACGAATATTGGACCCAAAGAGTGAAAGTTTCTTTTGCAAACCAACCAAATAATTCTGGGGAGATGATAAATACACCTCCACTCTCACATAAACACACACCCTTTTTTTAAAAAAATATATAAAATATCTAAATTACCCTTTTTAAAAAAATGAAATTTCTAAATTTACACCTTCCTTCCCCGCACTCCCCTTCTCCGCACCTATACTCCACACTCCTCTTCTTCCCAAAGCCTCTTTCCGCTCAATGTTATTAAGCAAAATACTTTTACGGTCATTCTGAATAGAAAAAAAGGACTAGCCCCACCATAACCAGCATAAGAAAGGCTCTTTGCCGGTGAAGGATTTGATTCTGGTAAGTATCCTTTATACTAAAGCTTCTTTACAATGATTTTGTTTTATATAAGTGCTCGAGTTAGGATTGTTGACTCAGAATTTGAAGTATACAATCCATTCCTGACCGATTTCTTTCTCAATATCGGGACATCACATGCGTACATAAGGTTCAACCATTGCGTAAAAAGTACATGCATGGAACATTATCCTGTATCTGCATGTAAACTTTAGTCTGGAACGACACCACAACGGGTCGTTCTGCAAGAAGAACGACCCGTTCTACTTGTAGCACAGCCCGTTCTGCTTGCAGAACGGCCTGTTCTGCAAGCAGTACGGCCCGTTCTGCAAGTAGTACAGGCCGTTCTGCAAGAAGTACAGGCCGTTCTGCTTGTAGTACGGGCAGTACTGAAAGCAGTACAGGCCGTTCTGTTGCAGTACAGGCCACCGCGTCACTTTTAAAATGGCTACCTTATGACTGATTTTAAAACCCCGATTTTAAAAGTCATTTTTGTACTAGTGTTTCTTTCTATAGAACAAGTAAGAGTCTTTCTCTTACAAGACCACCTGCTGACATTGCGCACCCCTCTTCTTTCTCTTTCTGGCACTCCTCTTCTTCTTCTTCTTACTGTTATGGAAAGTTCTTTCCGGAATTATATAAAAATGTTCCGGAAAATACTTTCCATAATATTAAATTCTTATTCCGGAAAGTATTTTCCGGAAATGTTTTGTTACATAATTCCGGAAAGTACTTTCCATAATATTAAAGTTACTATTACGGAAAGTTCTTTCCGGAATTATATGAACAATAATTTTACTATTCCGGAAAGTACTTTCCGGAATGCTAATGACTGTAAAAGTACTTTCCAGAATGCTAATGATTGTAAAAGAGCCTTTCTTATGCTGGTTATGGTGGGGCTAGTCCTTTTTTTCTATTCAGAATGACTGTAAAAGTATATTACTTAATGACATTGAGCAGAAAGAGGCTTTGGGAAGAAGAGGGGTGTGGAGTGTGGGGTGCGGGGAAGGGGGTGCGGGAAAGGGAGGTGTAAATTTAGGAATTTTTTTTTAAAAAGGTAATTTAGACATTATATATATATTTTTTAAAAAAGGGGTGTGTTTACACGAGAGTGGAGGTGTGTTTATCATCTGCCATAATTATGTATGTTTCTGCAGCAGAGTCATTGATACGAGAGCTATTAAAAATGCCCTGACCGGACTGGGCCTAACGGGTCTCAAAAACACCTAAAGAGAACCGGCCCAATTTTGAGCCAGTTCGGTGGACCAAAGAGGTCAAAATAAGTCAGTTATTTATATTTTGAAACTTACTGGACTTATTTACCTTGATCTTTTATTAAACATTAAATAAATAAAAAAATAGCCAATTGATTTAGAAATCTGCAGGCCAATTTGGTTTTCTTTGTAAAAATTAAATTAATAAAATGGCCAATTTAGCCTGGCCCATCAAACCAACGGGCTATCTCAGGCCAAAAAATTAATAACCCATTGAAAATTCAAGTAGGTTGGTCTTGACCATTTGATACCTTCCTTATTTTTTCTTTAGGAATCTTTTTGATTCATTAAAAATATGCTATCGGGTAACATAAGCATAATTAATCTATATTTGATTTAAGAAAAAAATTATTCATTGTTTAAAAGTAACGACTGACGTGAAACTATTATAATTAGAGATGTAAAGTAAATTTATATTCGTAGATAACATTAAAATTAGTCTAATTTTGATAATAAATATTTAGTTTAGCGAGGTACTCACAATACTAAATTTATAAAATTATTATATTTTTACTTGTCTCATACCTATACTTATCACTGATTTAAATTTTTATAAACCTAGTTTATTTTTTTTTAAAATTTACTTGAGACTTATGTAGTTTTTACTCTATTTTAAATTTATGTTAAATAAAATTAATTAATGTAATTTTATAATTTTTACTCTATGTTAAAATTTTTGTTTCTTATATATTTTTTAAAATACATTTAATTAATTTATGAGTAGATAGAAATATATTCAATACTTGACAAGAATGTAGATGAGACACAAATTTCATACTTATCACGTACCGAAACGAGATAAGATATTGAAACTCGCATCATTATCTTCCAAATCTTTTTTTTTTTAATTTTTTTTTTTATATATGGTAGAGATCTACTTACTCAAGAATAATTTTTAATAAAATTACTTCAATCAATGACATATAATATACATCAAATTTTAATAATTTAATCATTAAATTAAAAATTCTGAATGAATATATTAAACTACAAATATTTACAAAGATTGAAAACTATACAATATTAATTTTATCATATAAATTTAAATTAATATATAATGTATTTTTATGAATATATATTAATTTAAATTAATATAATAAAATATTAAATATTTTATCATATATATATATAATAACTTGTAACAAGAAGTCACACAAAAACTGTTTTATATTTTCTGTGCATAACATTTTTCTCATGTATCGGATACTATTACTTTTAAATTAACAATTATCTTTTTTTATTTAAATTTTTAAAAAATAAATATATAGACACTAAGTTTGTGTTTCCCTACTAATAAATATGATTTTAATACCATGCACATGTGGTTGATACTGATAGAGTGAAAAACCGCATTATTAATAGCATATTAATTAGTAGAAATATTGTGTGGCCAAAATTTGCATGGTGCATCGAGATCATCGCCATGCAAGAAGGTACCCTATTACCCAACCCACCCGCGACACACAACAACATCATCATTATTCATTAACACACTCACCTTCTTCAATCTTAACACACACTCACTTTCATTCCTCATCCTCTTTTCTCTCATCAGTCATCACACAATGACAGAACCACCTCCCTCCGCCATAGACCCCTACGAGTTCATGAAAATCAAGTTGAACCCCGACGGCTGCTCCCTCACGCGCAACTACGATGTCCCCATGGTCCCCCCCGCACCGGAGCCCACCCCGGGCATCACCGCCCTCTCCAAAGCCCTCCCCCTCAACGCCGCCGCCGG